GTCTTACTTAAGATGCCTGTATTATCTGCATATAATAAACAAGATTTTCTTAAGCTTTGTATTTACCCTAGATAGTATTTCTGCTTTTTTACAAGGACTGTAGATTTCTTCCCATTTATATCAATAAAGTAAGGCTGGTTTCTTTTGGTCATCTCATTTCCATTCAAGCATTGAAGTGTATAAAATTGTCTTTTATGAAGCACTTGTACTAATTTGGTTGGCAGCAACAGGTCAAATTTTTATTGTATATTTAACTTTAGCATCCCACTATGCTTTGCAAATGATTCTGTAACAACAGAGCAATAGAAGAGCAGGATCTGCATCAACAGACTGGCACTATTTGAAGCCCTACAGGGAAGCTTAAACTCAACTGCAGTGGTAAGATTTGGAAGCTGGCCAAGACATGACCCTGCTTTAGCAGCAAGTCGCCTGTGCAATGAAGATGTTAGCTACACTTCAGCAGTGCGCTCCCACTGATGCTTGTTAGTGCTAAAAATAATTCTAACACTGATTTCCCCAGGGTAATTAGCCTGTGCAGAGTCAGATTGAGATTAGACTTTTTCTGGTGCCTTGTCAAATTTAAGTTCAGGTATTTAGCATATGCTAAGACACAGCTGCAGGAAGAAAAGGCTGTCTCAGTTTCTCAATATTGTGATGTATGTATCTAATTCAGTGTCCCTTGTTAGCTTCTGTGATCATACCTGGAGAAGAATGGCCTCAGGCCCACCTAGCCTTTTCTTTTGGATTTTTTTTTTTTTTTTTCTGCAAAGGAAGCGGAATGCTTGAAGGTGATAATAATCCAAGGGACATCCTGCCCCTGGTAAGATAATCCCTTTTATTTTAAATGTTTTAAATATGATATGTGACTGTAACTGATGTTGGGTTTGAAATGCTCCAGGAGAAACTGGTAACTCTGAACAAAGTGTTGCTTTATTTGGATGATATTCTCTTATATCTGTGGCTGTTGATGTTTATAACAAACCTACTTCATTTCCAGATAAGGTATTGAAATAAGCCATTGCAAAGAAGGAAGTGTAGGTTTCTTTCTAAAGTAATTCCACTCTTAGTAACGATTCATAATTGACTGTTTTCTAGACACAATAATGGGAAAACCAAGAATTTTAGTCTCATCCCCCCCATTCCCTTATCTCCTCGATGTCAGCCTCATTTCTCAGCGCCCTGAATTCAGAAATTACAAATCTAAAGGGGTTATACTCTTATTATTACTTTCTATAGCCAGTTACTATGCTGCATAGCAGAAGTGTAGTTACCTTTGCTTGTAACTGGTACAATGTCTCCTGTGTTAGGTTTTAAACCAGCAAATCTGTGCCAGGCAGGCAGGGATTGAGGTGAATATTTTATGCCAGGACGTCCAGAAACAATAGAGCTTTTAGAGTGAGGGAGTTTCATTAGTTCCTTACAGTTTGAACTTACGTTAAGATGCATGCAAGTGAGGAACACCTTCCTAACAGCTTCTAATGCATGCCAGTATTTTCAGCTACGATGGGTTTAAATGTTGAGTAGCACTTAGTTGTAGCTGAAACCATACTGACTGAATCAGGCCTTACAAGGACAGAGGCATGCAAACTGACCCAAAGTTTTCACCTTAACTGGCTAAGCAAATTGGGTACAGTGACTACTAGATTTATGAAAGTTGTAATAGTGATGGTGGTGTGGTCAGCTGAATTTTTTATGTTCTTGCTGACTTTGAGGATGCTTCTTAAAAGTGTTAGAGAGGAGCGTTTCAGGGTGCATCAGTGAGCATCGTGCACTTCTGCGTGTGCAGGGAATGGTTACTCAGTGGAGAAAGACAATGTATTCCATAATTTCCAATATGTAAATCAATTTGGTTTTGTTTGTCAGTTTAGTTATATTCAACACTTGTACAATGTTTTCAGAGTGTCTTGCAGTATTTCTCACTTGTGGCTTTTCTGGCTTCCTGACAAGACAGTAAGTGAAGTAGAATTGCAGAATGATTTCTCTAGGCTTTCAATGGCATTTGAAATATCTCTTATAGCCACCTGTTAGAACATCTAAAAAAATCATTTAGCTCTAAATATGATAACAGTTTGTGGGTGTATGCAGGGAGTGTTATAGCGAGAGAAACAAAAGCACATTAAAAAGAAATAAGCCCAAGGACCATAATTAGAAGATACTTAAGGGAGGATAAAATGCTAGAAATATTTGTTATATTAGTCAGGTGGTGAGCTGTGACCAACTTTTCTGTCACTAATCCTTTCCTCCTTGCCCCTATTGGCCCTAAAAGAGGAGACAGCAAAAGAAAAGGATATAATAAAAATGACAGGTGCAATCAAAAGTGGTCTCCCTGAAGGAAGAGATTAAACCCTATGGATTTTTCTGAACATTTGAAATTTAGTAGCATATTGAAGAGAAGGCAGAAGAAGATAGGCTAAAAAGATATATTTTTTTTTTTATTACATAAGAACAAGGAGCCATTCAATTAAACTAAAACACAACAAAGTGAAAATTGATAACAGGAAATGTTTCTCCTTGAATGATTATTGTTTGCAGATTTTTGTTACAATGTGCCATTGATGCAGGTGAAGAATAAAGAATTTGGCAAAGTACACTTTTCCCTGTGGTTGCTTAGGGAATATCTGGCGATGTGGTTGGCACCAAACTTCTGAGGCTGTGGAAGGAAGAGGGAAACCTCTGGCCTGTGGAGGATAAGGAGTATGTAAACAACGTGGTGGTATCAAGAACACACTTTTTGAAAGCAAGGGAGGATTTCTCTGTCTTTAAAATTATGTGTTTCTATTGATGTTCCTCAGCATGGAAAAGAAAAGCAGAGAAAAGTTAATGTAGGAAGAACGAACAGTTGTGTATGTGAATATGTGCTGGTGAGGCTGGGGGGCACCCCAGGAAAGCCTGGCACGCCTGGCTCCAGCACCGTGCTGGGGAGGGAGGGTGGTCCCATCCCTGATCTTCCAGTGACCTCTCTGGGAAGCAGATTTCTGGTCATGGTGGTGATGTGTTTTTTTTCTACTTGAACTGGGGAAGTGAAAAAAGTGCCAGAAAATGGCTGATATCAGAGTGTATTTGCCCTTCAGAGGCTGCGTTTACCCTTTTCTCAGACTAGAAGAGATTGTGTATTTGTTTTTATTTGTGTATTATAGCCATCATTTGGATTAATTTGTTTGTAAATACAGTAATTTTAAAAGAAAAGCTATAGCTGCAGCAGGAGTGTGGGTGTAAAGGTTCAGAGGCAGAGTAGTATGGCCATACTCCTTAGCAATCCAGGAATGGGTTTGTTTCTTCTGTGACCTCAGTTCAGGCAATCTGGTGCTCCCTATGTAGCAAATATCACCATCGACTTGCCCCCCAGCATGGGAGCTGGAATAGGAGCTGCTAGATGGCAGGCAGCTGGAGCCATCCCTGCTGTCTTGACCAAACCCCAGAAACTTTCCCCCATTTTTTCACCTTTTTTTTTTTCCCCCTTTCACTGTGATTCTGCCTGGCTTGAGGAAGACTTTGCTCATTCTGACATAAATTCAAGTGGGTTTCAGATACAGTATGGTCCCTGGACCATCCTTGCTGAATGGGCATTTCTATTCAACAACTGAAGGAATGTAACTGGAAAAAACACTCAATTTGGGGAAAGTAACTGGAAAAACCTACAGGAACAAGTCTGCTGCTAGGAAACAAAATCTCAAAGCAAACAAAATCAAAACAGCAGCAGTGGGTCATCAAAATGAGAGGGGTGGAGAATAACAGGAAGGGAATAGGAAGCAGTAAGAGCCTTGGGAAGTGGATGTTGAGCTGCGTTCTGCCTTTATTTACAATGTCTTTACTCCAGCAGGTTTCTGTGCGTGTTAGGCGAGCAAAGCAGAGAGCACTGGCAATAGATGAGTTGTTTAAATGAGTCCCATCAGTGCATTTCATAATCTTTTGTGAAAATGTGTTTAGCCTAATCGTGTCTGTTATTGGAATGTAATGTAACACTACCAAGGAGGCCCGCGGCTGCCTTGTTAAGATTTTATTTAAAGAGGGAAGAGCCTAAATGAAAGCTATCAGCTGAGGAGAGCAAATTCAGCCACACCTCTGAGCTTGCACAGGGCATCAGGTGCTGCTCCAACATGGGCATCCCTGCATCTCCAGTCCAATGTGTTAGGGTTGGCATTTATTTATTTTCTCCTCCCCCTGTAAATCTGATCATCTTGCACTTCGCTCTGAATTCAGTGAGAAAACACCCTGCCATGCCTTTTTGTGCCTCAAATCTCTCACTGTGAGGCTTGTATATTGGTTTGCTTTTCAGTGCTGCTGTGAGGGAAAAAATAATTTCTGTTTGCCCATGTGTACTTTGATACTGGGGCTAACTTCTGGAGATGGAGATGAAAATACTGTGTTAAGCTGATATGTCTATACTAACACACCTTCCTATTTGGGCAAAGTTTGTTACTGCTTGTAAATGCATGTAATGCCATTAAAGCTTATTTTTTGCATGGAATATAATGATGCTGATATTAATAATTTATATACCAATATAAATGGGGGGAGGATCTTGCAGCTTTAGTTATGTAGTAGTACAGCTAGAGCATTTTTTGTAGATGCGTGAACACTTTGCAAATAGGGTGGGCTTAGTCATAAAATTATTTAAATAAGCTAATAAGTAACTGGCTATACAGCTTCATTCAAATTAATGAACGTAAGAGTGGATTTCCTTGAAAGCAGACAATGATTTCTCTATCTGGAATCATCCAACGGTTGTATTTCTATTGCCTGTTCTGGCGTTTTTGCTAGTGATCAGGAAAACAGTGGGATAAGTAATTTTTGGTCAACTTATGCAATTGTTAGAATGTGAATATGCTGTGAGTTTTGGAAGCATCAGTCATGTAGTTAACGGGTATATGTTTCTAAGGCCATAGGTATATACTGTAACCTCTCTGTGCATGTCTTCAGGACTGTAAAGTAGTAAATCTGCTGGTTTCATCAGCTTTTTTCTCAATGAGTTTTGATGATGATTTGACTCTGCTTCACAGAATAAGGATGGTTGCTCAGCTGTTAACCACGAAAGACGCTGTCCGTGAGGATATTCCTGTGCACAGATGTGTCCATTCGACTGCTCCCTTATGATGCAGATACAGTAGGTGATTTTGTTTTGGCTCTTTTCTTCTTGTCCCTTCCTACTGTATAAATGCTTAGTATGAATCAACTCAAAGACAAGAGTCCAGCAGAAAATTTTCAAAATCTGTAAGTGATCTATCCATCTCTCTATTTTTATCCTTATTTTCTCTCAATTGCCTTAATTTTGAGGAAAATTAATTCTGCAATGGCAACTTTCACTGGCAGTGGGTTAACATAACAGAGATTTTGGGCATCTTGGCTGGGATTTCCCATGTTCAATGTGTCCTCTTCAGCCTCAGCCACTTAGTTTGTGGAGCTGTCTTTCGTATTGTGCTTGTCCATTAACATGTCATGTAAGAATCCATGTAGCCTAGGAAATAGTCAAAAATCCCTACATAAGCTGTAGAAATATCATCAGAATTTATGGTGCCAGCTTTGCCAGCATTTTTCATGTGCTAGCATTATCACATTTTAACGCCCTTCAGTAAGTTTCATAGAGAAACAGTTTCAAATTGGATAAATCTCAAATTTGCACAAATCAGGACTTGGCAGAGAAGAAATAGAATGTCTCCTCTTAGCAATCATAAAGTAGTGGGCAGACATTGCATTTTAGTGTAGGTTTAAATACTTGTTCCTGCTGGTTTCCTCCTAAATAATCAAGCCTACCCACCAGATTGTATTTGGAAGCACTTACTAATGCGGCATGCTTTGTTTTAACTGTTCAGAAAAATGACTGAAAGTTTCAAGATGAGACAACATGAATCATAATCTTCAGCGGCTGTTCAGTTTCGTGATTGATTTGCCTTCTTCCTATGTTTCTTTCAGTCACCCTGGGAATCGCTGAAGCCGTTTTGTGCAGGAGGCGTTGCTGAGATTCCCCTTGCAGCAATGGACTTGGATAAACCATCCGTCTGGGGATCCCTGAAGCAGAAAACTAGACCGTTCCTGCAGAACCTAAGCGTGAAGAAGACAAAGAAGAGGTCTAGCAAAATGGTGGAGAGGAAGGTCCATTCCTTGGACCGGCGCCTCAGTGTGTCGGTGCCTGACATGCTGGACGTGGAGACGCTTACGGAAGAAGAAATGACTTATTCAAGTACTCAGGTGTTGTCAAACTGCTCCCCCCAAAGCTTCTCCAGGTCTGTGGTGTCTCTGAAAAGCAGAAGCGCTTCCGTGAGGCCAGGGGGAGAGGACCGCTCATGGGTGTCGCAACCGGCAACGCGCACGGAGGTGACAGTCACCCACCTGGACGCGCAAGTCGCGGGCATCCCCGTGTCCGAGGGGAGGAGGGAATCCAGCGCCGACCTCTTTGAGCTGCTGCAGAGCGCCCGCCTGAGTGCCGCTCTGACGGACGAGGGGGCAGAGGTAGGTGCCTCGGGCATCAGCCAGGCTCAGTGGCCGCCTCGGGCTTGTTGTGCTTCTCCTTAATTGTCTAGGTTATAAAGGGATGGAGGAGGGGGGGCTTTATTCAAGGAATGAATGGGGCGGATAAAAATAAGCATAAACCATACATGATATACAAATTACTGGAGACTAATTCAAATATCCTTTCTGTCAGCCTGGAGATGCAAAATAATCCTGCTCCATTTTTTTTTTTTTTTTTTTTTTATTCTGACAAGGTTATGATACTTCAGATTTTTCAGATTGGTTGGAATAGCTTGCTTAAGTCAAAAGTTGCAGCCCTCTGAGCGCTGAAATGTGCTGCTGGTGCATGTCATAGCTACCCTTTCTAGTTAATACAGCTTACCAGGATTGCTATATAGCAGAATCAATTTACCATCTGCCCACTCAAGACCCAGCTGAAGGCAAGAGGTGAAAGATGACGGGTGAGTGAGGTGAACTCTGCCTGTACTTGGAATTAACCAAAACAAGCACGTGTGGGGAACACTGAACATGTAGCACCGTGCTCAGGGCTGTCCTTTGGGCTTGCATTGTGATTATTTAGAGGAGGTGCAAAACCAAAGTGTTTTCACCGTATTCCCCCTCTTTTCCTCCTTCTTCCCTTACCCCCGCCTCTGTGGTCAGTATTTCTGTGGGTAGATATAATGTAGGAAGATCAGAGACCAATGTGCTTCAAATCTGGCATGGAACAGTAATTCCTGCCTGGCCCGAGCAAAGTGGAGTTGCACGATGGCTTTATACTATAGACAGCAGGTGAAGACTGTGGCTGCATTAAACATTTTAGGCAAAATTTGGGTTACTTTGGTTTTGTGGGAGTGTGTCTCCTCCTGTCGAGCTTTCATTGGAAAGGATAGATTTTGAACTTTGTTTTGAGGCCTTTTTTTTCCATTACCTAGTTGTTGCAGTTATTGCAGCTGCTTTGCTTAGTCATCCAAGATGCAAAAATGGGAAACAGACGTTTTGGTTTAAAGTCCTCCTTTGGGAGTGGTGATTTCACAGGTTAATTAACATTTTTTAACTGCATGTTCAAAATTATGGTTAGTGCTGCTATGGGGAAAGTGGTCTTTTCTAATATAGAACTGCTTGTTCTGCACTTCAAAGGTCTGTGTATTCTTAGCAAATCAGTGTTAGCTCCTAGTCTGTTGTGATGTAAAGTGTGTCATACTGGTAGTTACTGACCATCACTTCCAGTTTAGTGTTGATGAACTGTTAACAAGTTGGCTTCAACTTACTGGAGTGAACCATTATTCAGAGGTCTGCATAAGAAAAAATAGCTGAAATACTATATCACTTTGTTTCGGTGCTTAAACTTTACTTAAAAATTGTAGTAACTCAGTATATGCTAGATCGGACATTATGAACATGTCATTATTTTAGGAGTTTTCCCAGGTTGTTTTAATGATAGCAGCAGTTCTTTCCTGCTGCTGTAGACCAGAAACTCTAACCTAAAATTTACCACAGCAGCACCAAAGTTAATCTTAAATCCTGCTTTGACTTCGGGCAAACTAAGTGCTTTAGGGGGGGAGAAGGTACCTGTATTATGATAGAATAGCTTAACTTCAAGTCAAGTTTCCTCCAGAAGTGCAGTCTGAGTCGGGCTTATTCTCTGGAGCATTTATATCTTTCCCAAAGTGTGTATTTGTGTACGTGCTTGTGTGTGTAAATCATTTAGTATTTACTTTTATGGAAAATCATCTCACTATGTGAATGTGCTACCTTCCTTCCTGTAATCTGTCTCTAATTACAGCTTTTAAATGCAGAAAGATTTTTTTCTAAAGAATACATAAGAGACAGTGTAGCAAAGGAAAGTAGAAGTAGATAAGAAATATTGAACAAATTTAATTATGTTTAAGTTGAATTTGGTGAAAAACCTCTATCTGGCTTTTCTTGCACTTCACTGAACAGCTACAAAGTTCGTACCCAGTGTGTCTCAAATGGGAACAGTTTATTGCAGGGGTTGTTGGTCTCCTAATACTGGGTGGGATTGTTGTGAGGAGCATGACAGTAGTTTTCATTGCTCTTTTGAGAGCATCATTTGCTGCTCAATGTGGTAAATCAGAAGGAAGGCAGATCCTTGGAACAAAACAAACTGAAAAAAAAAAAAAAAAGAAAAATGTAGGTTGAGCTTTTTTTCCCCAAAAATTGCTTGTGACATGCCACCTACTCATTTCCTGGTTATCTTCGGTCACCCAGTGTTATGAGATACTTTCCGAGCCTCGTTCCTGAGCTCAGTGTGGGCTTGTGGTTTTTACACCCATCTAAACTCTCAGTACAGAGCTGTCAGTGCTTGGAGCTCACCATCTTCGGTAAAGGCTCTTGCCACGGGTACCGTATTTCCATTTGCTAAGAGATTCACTTTATCTGTTCTCTGCTGCAGCCCGGCTAGGCAAATTGGAAGAGTGAAGAAGCAACTGAAGTTGCATTGAACCCCTCCTCGATTGATTCAGGTTGCAAAGGGCACCGTTAATGCTCCTTTTCCCAGTTGGGTTTTGTCCGTGGTCACACGTCATTGCGCCACTTCTTCGTCTTCTTACTAACACCGTGCAGTGAGTCACTGGCAGCCAACCCAAAGCCTCGTCCTGCTGCCGATGTACTCGGTGCCCTTGTGTTTTGAATCATTCTGCAGAAAACGAGAGAGAGAAGCTGTAAATCTTGTCAGGAGGAACACTTTATTGATTTATATCTATATATATCTATACACACACTCTTGTTTGATTAGTTTTTACACAGATACATTTGGGACTGTGACCTTCTTGGTGGATGTGGCCACATTTGTTTACACATTAAAGCTCAGAAACATGACTGTAGTTAGATAAAAATCAAGAGTTCAGGATGATGTTTTGAGTGAGGCTCTCATCTATATTCAGTGATTTCATTGCAGTTAGTTATCTAGACTAATATCAATTTACATTATATGGAGAAAAAAATGAAAAAACAGGCTTTTCTAAATTAAAATTATAATTTTTATTCAAAATCTGTCAATATAATGCAAGTAAACAAAAATCAGAATAAAGGCAAAAAATATCTTTGAGGGTAATTTTTTAATTATAAATAACATCAAACTATCAGAGAGGGTAGTTTTTTAATATTGTAATTTCAATACAGTTCTTTGATTCTTTATTTATGCCACGTAAAACAAGCTATAAAGAGAAACTATTATCAGTGCCAATGATGGTGCCTGAGGAAGATTCCTGTGAAGCCAGAGACTACAAGAAATACTAGGTTTAATGCACACAAGTGAGATTTTATGCATACTAGTCAAGAAATTCAAAGTTAGGGTTCCCCTAGCAGCTGTAACTCAGCTCTGTTGTGCGAGAAAACTCTTCTGCTGCTCTTTATGATGATAATTTTTCTACTTTTAATGTGTTTTTGCAAGGTATCCAAGTTACGATTATTGTGGGAACCATAATGTTAAATTTCGTCTGTCATGTAAGTGAAATTTTACTTGCAATGCTGGATTACTGTACTTCATGATATGTAATATATGTATTTGGGGGGAGAAGGAGGAGAAGAATTACACAAAAGCGTATTTATATTTACTTCAGCCTATCAGTATCTCTAAGATTTATGATCTTTGGTGCAGGAGCTGATTCTTTTTTTCATGTTTGTATAGTGCTCCACACAATGCAACTCTCATCTGAGAGATTTGGATGTTACCACACTATACATAACATTTTCACATGAGGATCAAATTCCACCTTGTGTGCATTTCTGTAGACTGAGGTTATTCTTAGCATAAATCTTTGTATTTGAATGGGCTGTGATTTGCCTTGCATTAGACCAAAACAGTTGCCCAGGCACGTAGGTCCTATTCCGCTAAAATGATGATCATAGACTGTTCTAGCAGTCAAAATAGGTGTATTGACCAGAGGATCCCTTCTGTGCATCCAGACAGTCTAGGCACCATGCCACCATAGCCTCAAGTTTTTAGATGAGTCAGTATTTAGGAAGAAACATTTGACCTGCTCTCCTAGGCCCAGCACTAAATAAAGATCCTCTGGATCTTCCAGTTACTGCAGAAAGTGGTAAGAAGTACCTGACCAACATCTTTTTTCCCCTTTCCCTTTAACTATTTATTTCTAACTTTTCCCCGGGCTTTTTTATTTTTTAAACAAACGAACAAACAAACAAAACTTTTCCTGGACCTTGCCTTTTGAGTGATGAAGGAGAAATTGTAGTCAAGTGAGAAAGCAGCTGGCTCTCTAACCCCAGGATATTGCTGCTGCCGCCACCACCACTTCTGGCATTTTTTATGTCATTTAGGAAGGACACATGGAGATTGAGCAAATGAAATTCTGCTCAGGAATAGGGATCAGGATTTCAATGCTAAGTCACCAGATGTAATAACCTTCAGGCATCAGGAAGGTTTGTAGTAAGGACCTTTGGCACTGACAGCACAGGTCTCTACTGGGGAAGAGAAGAATTTGTTCCAATAGCTGGAAGAAGGCACCTATTTTTTAAATTAAACTCAAGAGAATAAATGCAGTTACTGTAAAACAGGAAAAAGAAATGTCTATTTAAATTATGGAGGGGAAGGTTCTATAAGCAGAAGTAAAAGAATTTCACTGGTTACACATGAGTACTTTCTTGACTGATACTAGGAGTATCTTCTTGACCCCTATATTACTGTTGCCTAATTCATTGTATCTTTCTATAGTACCCAAGTGGAGAAATGGATTTAGACTCTTCCATATCATCTCATATTTTTGATGATCAGATGGTAAGTCCTTTCATTTTAAAGAATTTGAAAGTTGATCAGAAGCACAATTTATTGTAGGTTTTGGTTCTTTGCTTCTTACAAATTTAAAATGCCAGCACACGAAGAAGCCTTCTACAGATTTCTCCATTGTGGTTTTTTGGCTTGTTGGGCTTTTGTTTGTTTAGTGTGGTTTTGTGTTTTTGTTGTTGGGTTTGTTTTTTGTTTTTTTGGCAGTGCAAAGTAATTGCTAATGTTTTAAATGGATCCAAATGATCTGGATTTTTTAAAGTATTCTGTAATTTCTATGTTGTGCTGGTAACTGATGAAAGCATCAGCATGAATTCTCAACTGGCAGCCCAGGAGCAAACAGGATTAAAATAAAGACAGCAGATACCTTAACATGGCTGTAGGGTTTGGCAGACAACAAAAACATTTTTAGGGCAGCGGAAAAAGGCATTGGCAGTTTTGACACGTGCTCTTCCCATGTAAACCATATTTGCCAATTCCAGATGACCTTCTCCACCTTTGCCCTCTGATAACCACTCAAGTGCTGTCCAGAGGCTGTTTTCACGGAATGTGCCGGCTGGATGCTGCTGCCGAGGTGTGTAGCCCCAGCAGCATCTCTGATGAACAAGAATCCTCTCAAGTTTGCTACTGCAAAACCTCACAACTAGCATTGCCCACTGCTGCATTTCTCTGTTAGAACTGTCTAAAGAAATGCTGCCCCTCTCAGCAGCTATGTGAAACGTGTACTTCCTCATGAGGTCATCAGATGAGTACAAATGGTCTTGATGATCCTTATGCGGGTCCCTTCCAACCTGAAATATTCTATGAATGTGCAAGAAACAGCTAGAAAGAAAATGCAGTAAATTGGCAGGATTTGGCAAACCTGTGCGTGCATTTATGATTGTTAATATTACCACTCATTTTCAGGTACAACCCTCCCTTGTGTTACACCTTGCTTTGTTCAATGTACCTGATGTTGATAATTAGCTATTTACATAATGAAACAAAGCCTGGGAAAGAAATCTTTTTTTTGTTTTTGTTTTTCTTTCTGTAAAAGATTGCCCTAAGGAAAGACAAGAACTTTGTCTCTGCAAAACGAGATAACACCTGCTTCGTTCATGGTCCGCTTCAGGAGCTGTCTGTGCAGCGGTGACTGATTTCTTTGTTCTCCTTAGGCTCTAGAGGAAGCAAACGATTGCTTGAGGGACCTGCCCAGCCCCTTTGCCTACCTGCTGACCATCCACCTGAAGGAAGGCCGGAACCTGGTTATCAGAGACCGCTGTGGTGAGCCCCACCTTTCAGCTGATTTCCTTTAAAATTCACATGTACTCTCCCTTTACTGACTTCAGTTTGGCAGCAGTTGGCTTCTCTTCTTATCTCTGATGCAGCCAGTCATTGACTTGTGTCCCTTGCCTGGGTCAGAGCACTCAGTGATTGGGTTTATCTGCCTTAGATACACAGGGGAGGGAGCTGCCCTCTGCTTGCTGCTCCTTCTGTCTGGCTGTGCAGCTGCAAAGCACCTCCTGGGCTTGATTTAGCAGCTGTACCTATTCAGGAACTGCAGTGTCATTAACCTTGAGAAATTCTATTTGAGCTTAAAAAACAAAACAAAACAAAAAAACAACAAAACAAACCAAAGAATATTTTGAAATTTATTAAATGATGGAGCTGCTCTAGGAATGCTTTTGAGGTTATCTTCAAAGATTTTAATAAAAGGGAAACCATGGGAGCAGGGCTGTAAGCCAACAATTCCCCTCTCTAATCTGGGATGCAACCTGAGGAGGACAACATAAAAAAAAAAAAAAAAAAAGAAGTTATCAAACAAATTAGAAAAAATTTGGGGAATTCCTGGAAAAAGCATGTGAAAGTGCCTGCTGTCAGCCTGGCTCTTCTTCAGACTGTTGCAACAGGGAGTAAAATGCTTATAAGCAGCCAGTTGGTAGTTTCTCTGCTTGCTGCAGAGGGAAGAGCCGTCCTGCGCAAGGCTCTGCGGAGCCTTGCAGGGCTCTGCAGCAGCAGCTGCTTCAGGACCTCTGATCTGAACCTGTCAGAGAGATCTTCCATATGTCCAATCTTTCTGCATTTTAGATTTATTCTTGATTTCTACTTTTTTTTTTTTTTTTTCCCCTGCACGTGGAAACAGTTCTAACACTTTTGCATTGCAAAATGTATGAGCAGTTTCTCTCCTTTGAAATGAAGCTGTAGTGTCATAGTGTTTTAAAGAAAAAAAGCTGGCGCAGCTTGAAGGCCTGTGAATGTTTGCATCTGGAGGGACCCGCATGGGTTTAGAAACCTTGCATGAGGTACTTGTTGTTGGGATCTCCCTTATCTGTTAACTTTTCTCTTGCTGGTTTTTCTTTTCTTCACCAAACAGTAACTCTTGGCCAAGTGTGTGCTCATTTCCCCCCCTAGTTTTTGGAAGGAGTGAATGAATACTTAGATTAAGATCTTTACTCTTTAAACAGAAGCATGTATTTCCTAACAGTGTAGCAGTTCATCAGATTTACTAGCAAGCTGCACAAGCCAGGACACATCCAGCTGTGGATGGAAAAGGTGCTATAAGTGTGTAATTCTAGCAGAGTTGTATTTCCAGAGAAGACAAAGCATAGTTTGCTCTAGGCTGTGTTTCGTTGCGTAAGAAAGCAAATGCTTGTCTTGGTGAAGCATTGGGCAATACAGTGAAACAACATAAGCAAGAGGGGGGAAAAAAGCATTTTGATGGGTCTCTGTTGCTCTGTGGCAAATGACCACTCATTAGTAAACTGAGTATGTGAAGTGATGCATCACTCAATAAAATTTCTGCTTTTCGTTGCGCAGACAGTAAGAGGGGGGAAAATAGCGACTTAATGATTATTCTTCAGTCACCATCATGTTGCAGTGGTGGCTTCTCAGGAAAAAAGGATGCTGCAGATGCCTTGGTGCACATCTTAATAGGTCTCTGCTGTCATACTGGTTACTTAGGATCATTGCGTGACGTTCAGGCTTGACCTGAAACCACTGTGCTTTTTGCAATGCACTTTTAAGAGCGGGAAGTTGTTTTCAGCTTTGCTCATCTCTCCAGTGTGAGAAAACCTCAGAAAAAACTTGTGGGCTGGGAGGGTGTGACTTCCCTCTTAGCCCACCATGACACTGGATACAGCCACTGCGCTGGGGTGAACCCACCTGCTCCGAATAATCTGAATGTAGGAACATGATGTCTGCAGCCAGCGTATCCTGCGAGTCAGACTGTGGCTTGGGCTGAAGGCCAAGTCATCCTCATTCACCTTTTAGGAACAGCAAACCTTCAGAGCTAACTGAGCAATGCTGCCTGACGCGGCGGGGAGAGGGTTTCCGTTGCTCTTCCCTGGGATTTTCTGTGTGCAAGGAGGCCCGGGAGCTCTCCGGTGGGCAATATCGTGTTTGCTTGACCCGTGTTTTCTGTGTACGGTGGAGTTTGAAGCCTCCTCTGCTCAGCCTTGTGTGGGCAACTGCAGCTCTGGTTTAGGTAGGAGTGGTGGCAGAGTTTGTAGGTAGGAGTAGCAGTGTCCTCCTTTTATTGAAATAAAGAGGTCGTACCTAGAGGTAACTTCTTGCCTGGTCATTGATGGAAAGTAATTCCAAATACTGCGTGGAGTACGCTCGACGTTAAATAACAAACTGTCTGCATGAAAACCACAGAGCGAAGGGTGTATGCCAGCACCTTTAGCCTAAATCAGGTTGAACGTGTTTTGTAAGTTTCCTAAATTTTAATATTCAGTTATTAAGAGATCTTCAATTGCTCTGAAAAAAAAAGACTCAAAGCGGTCATCAAACCCATCAGTTTAATTTTTTATTTTTTTAATTTTTTTTTTTTTCCGGGGGGGGGGGGGGGGGTGGGGGGGAAGTTCTGTATCTCCTCAAAGCAAACGGCACTGAGGTGTGGGGGTCCTACCCCCCTCCCTCCGAACTCCCGCCTTGTGCAACAGCTCCCGCTGCAGGGAAGCGGCCCCCATCGCGTGGGGCCGGTGCCCCCTCGTGGCGGTTCCCCGCGCTGCCCGCCGCCGCGGAAGCCGCCGCCGCCTCCCTGCGCGGCCGCGGACGGCCCGGCCTCAGAGCTGGGGGGAGGCCGCGGAAGCCCTTCGGCCGCGGGGTTCGGCCCCGCGGCAGCTCCTGGGGCGGGAAGCGGGGGACGAGGTGAGGTACGCGGGGTGTACTCGGGACGGGAGGGACCGGCCGGGTCTCCCGTCGTGGCGTTCGGTCTCCGTGTCTGCCCCCGTTTTGTCCCAAAGCAAGACACCTGCGCGTGTCTGTAAGTGCATAAAAATAAATAAGGAGTCACATTTCTGCCATTGGAAGCCGCTGTTGCTGGAAGCTCTTGGTGCTACTCAGCAAATTCACAGGGCTCTCCCTGAATTTACTCATTATATGCTTAATAGTTATTAACTAGGAATTAATGCACTTGGCTGAGTAAAGGTGAGCCGTAGTTCTGCTGGTAACTGCAGGCTAGAAGGCCAACATGTGACTTTTTCCTAATCTTTCCAGTTATTTTTCCAGACTTTTTGACTCGCCTATGGACTGTTCTTTCCAGGATATGTTCCCTTTATTGTGATTTAGATTCCTCCTTCACTTTACCAGATTTTTATTACTATAGTTTTATTGCTTTATTTTTTTTTTCTCCTTCATAATATCATCCCTGTTAACCTCTGCTCTTTCCTGCTTTTTTCTTAATCTTTTGGGTTTTTTTACATCATTTTTTGTCTGTCGTCTCTACAGTCCCTGACTTTCTGTAGCTCCTCTCCATGTACCTGCTCTCTATAGACTGGGTGCAGTGCATCAGCCCAGGATTCTGGCTCAGCTGCATGTGCTCCCTGTTGCTTCCCGTAAAGTGCACAACCAATAGAGGAAAAAAATCAGAATTACAACATTTCCTTATCTTTTTTTTTTTTTTTTTTTGGAGGTGGAAGGGAAAGAAAAACCCTCTATCAAGCAGCACCCAATATATGTTCTCCAACCTAGGAAATGGACTGCTGCTAGGATCTTGGTTCTGGTGGAAAGGGGGGAGGCTCCAAAACAATCCCTCTTGGTTAAAATTGCAGTGTGTTCCCTCTTGGGGCTGCAGGATGGCAGAGGTCATGGGTTTGCTTGGAGTCTGATTTATTTGCTTCTCACCGATGGTGCTTGGCATACGGTCTAACCCAGTCATACGATAGAAACTGTCACAGCAGACGGTGAGGAAGTGGCGTTCACATCACCCGCATGTGCATTTGGTGCTTCCCGTATTTATAGTTCTTGTCATTGATGATCCAAACACTGAAGGTTATGGAGCTGTGTGTACCTACACACTACCAAAATTTGGGGGTTTGTGTACTTTGTTTTGTGTTACTGTTAATAGATGACATGATATGTCATAGTGTGATGGTAAGGAGTTTGTGATCTATGTAGTTTTAATACTGTAACTTGTAAGAAAGCAGAAAAGCGTTTTATTGATTAAACATCTGTGGAGTACTGGTAGTTGTGCAGAAAATAGAGATAATTATATCTTATTTGGCTTAAGACCACCACGTATTAAGCGCTCTTAATCACCAGTGCTCAAACTGTTGTCACTGTTGCACCCTTAGTGGTTTTATGGCCTTCTTGAGCCTTTTTTTGGTGACGCTCACAACTTCCAGCTCCACATGCTTTCAGCTGGGAGAGACTGAAGACCACTTCTGCTTGCTGGTTTACTTTCACAGGTCAGGGTGATGCCTGATGTTTATTTGAATCAGTGTAATGAAATGTGAAATGTCCTGCTCCCTTAAGGCTCTGAGATGCTCTGACTGTGCGTGTTGCTGCTTGTATGAGTCGCGTTTGCACCACGGTGACGCTGTGACACCGAGCAGCAATGTGATGCCACAGCTGTAAGGAAGTGTTGCAGTCCTTGAGTTGACAAAGCCAGCTCTATGGGTATAAGAAAAAGCAGCAACTGGGGTTTGAGTGTGTGTAAGGGTGAGAAGCCCCTCCTGCTTCCAAATCCTGCCCTTTCAAAGTTTGAGTATATTTTTTTTCATCTGTTAAATGGTGTGGTTACAAGAAATGTATTTCTTGGATGTGATGTCAGCTGGTGAGTGATTGTGGTTGCTGTCTTTTATTTTTTTGCCCCCCTTCCAGCTGCGTTGCTCCAGCCTGAATTTTGTGTGTGTGTGTGTCTTTTCCACATGGTTTTGTGTTTTCTGTATTTTTACCGGATCTTTTGTGCCCTGTCTCTATTTCTTTCCTTCAGGTTTCCCTCGTTTCCTGTTGCTGCACTTTGGTTTTGCTCTCATTTCTTTCACGATACAGCTGAACGT